AAATTTCCTTAAAAACACACACCGACTTTCTTCCAGATCCTAAATGATGGTATTGATGTCCTGTAAATTTCCTTAAAAACACACACTGACTTTCTTCCAGATCCTAAATGATGGTATTGATGTCCTGTAAATTTCCTTAAAAACACACACCGACTTTCTTCCAGATCCTAATGATGGTATTGATTCCCTGTAAATTTCCTTAAAAACACACACTGACTTTCTTCCAGATCCTAGATGATGGTGGTGATGCTACTCACTTGATGTCCAAGAAGCATCCAGCTCTCTTTAAGATGATCAAGGGAATTGTGGAGGAGAGTGTGACTGGTGTTCACAGACTTTATCAGCTCTCTAAAGCTGGGAAGCTGTCAGTTCCAGCCATGAATGTAAATGATTCTGTCACCAAGGTAACCTGACCTAGTAACTATGGTAACCTATTAAAACTTTTATAGAACCAAGTCAGTAACCACAGTAACCAGTTAATAACCTGTACATCTGTTTAGTGATCCAAATAAAAATAAAAAGTATGTTGACTTGCTCATGTAATTAGAAATTTTTATATGTATCATAAAGTGTATTTACTCTTTTTATGTTGTAATCGAGGTGTAAAACCAGTAAACAAACTTATGCTTTTTGCAAAAGAGGATTTTTCTTTTAAAAGTAACAGCAATAAATGATCACATTCGGTTGATCATTAAGTAATGCTGACTAATTGATAAAGAAACAAGAATATTAAACATTCTTTTCAAGTTGCAGTTTATGAAAAAGAGAAGACTTTTACAAGCACTACGTGTAGAAAACTTCATAATTTATGATAGGAATATGGGAGTCTATCTTTTTCAGGGTTTTGTGTCAGAATATGAATTTCAGTATCTACAAGTGATTTAACTCTAGTGTATTTTATACTTTAGTGTATTATCTACAAGTGATTTAACTCTAGTGTATTTTATACTTTAGTGTATTATCTACAAGTGATTTAAATGTGGTGTATTTTATACTTTAGTGTATTATCTACAAGTGATTTAACTCTAGTGTAGTTTATACTTTAGTGTATTATCTACAAGTGATTTAACTCTGGTGTAGTTTATACTTTAGTGTATTATCTACAAGTGATTTAACTGTGGTGTAGTTTATACTTTAGTGTATTATCTACAAGTGATTTAACTGTGGTGTAGTTTATACTTTAGTGTATTATCTACAAGTGATTTAACTGTGGTGTAGTTT